CGTCGGCCTCACTGACTGAACGGCGCGCACAGACCGGGGCTGCGCTGAGGGCACGGGCACACAGACACATACATGCACACGCACATGCGCGCGCGCACGCACACGCATACACGCACGCACACGTGTGAAAGGGTTTGCTAGCAAAGCTCCATGGGGCCAAGCTGCCCGGGATCGTCCAACCGTAGGAACGACCGATGCAAGTGACACGCGCACAACCTGGAGGCCAGGATGGAACCAGCAGACACTCCGTGGCCAGGAACTGTTTTCTTTGGAAACATTTCCCTGACGGACACTTCCAACTCCACAGCAGGAGGCAACAAACCTGACTCTCTTTCCTTAAAAATCTGAAACGATGCCGTTCCGATGGTCGGCAGCGCAAACCGGTCATCACCATGTGATCACGCGGGGAAGTATCAGAGTGCAGCGCCCGCCGGCGAGGCGACTCGCAGGCCCTGGCGCCCAGAGAGCCCAGGGTGAGCCGGCGGCTTTGCGTCCGCGTAGGGAAACAGGGCGCGCCCAGTTCTCGTTGTCAAAGTCGAAGGTCCATCCGGGAGATGCGGTCACAAGCTTTTTGTTCACACAGCAAATGACCCCTGGCCTCGGGGCTGCCCCTGCCCGTGAGCCTCCCAGGGCCCAGCGGGGAGGGGCCAGGCCCCCTCGTGCAGGGACACCAGCCAGCTGGGTGCAGAGGCTTCCTCGAGGGCCGCGTCTTCAGTGGCCTCACCAGGCTGCGCGGGGCGTGGCGGCGGCTACAGCTTTGAGCTCAGACTCCCCGGGGCAGTCTTGTTGGCGGAAAACTCCGGCCACCAGGACGGCCTCTCCAGTACATGGCGCTGCTGGAGGACGGCGCTCCAGAGGTTTCTGTAGAGCTGCAGAGAGGAGCAGGTGCCCACATGAGAGCTCCCTCCTGGCACCAGGTGTGCGCACAGCCCCCCAAGCGGCGCTTTGTCGAACCGGGCGCTCTCCTGCCTCTCTAACAACCTTAGGGAACTTACATCCAAGTGACATACACCTTTCCCCCGAGTGGGAAGCAACAGGGAAATGCAACGATAAAATGCACGGACATTAGCGGGAAACGCCCCACTGGCGCTTTCCTTTGGAAATTCTTGTGAGGACAGACCCTGCGTCCGGTCGGTGGGGCCGCGGGGGGTGGGCATGGGCGGGCCTGCGCTCCTTGTTTGTGCTCCAGTCCGTCCCTGGCACCAGGGCGGCTGCTGGCACCTGGAGGAGCAGCCGAGCAGCAGAAT